ATATATTCCTCACACCAGATTTAAATTAAAAAATTTTAATAAAACTGAAATTTTAAATTTTTTTTTATATTTTAAAAATTAAGTGTTGTTATAAATGTAAAGTTTTTACCAAAAATAGTTAGTCAAGTAGCTTCAATTAAATTTTTGAAATTATAAAAATTTTTGTCCCGCAAATGTAAAAATATTTTTCAATAATTAATAAATAAAATAAAACTAAATAAAAAAAAATTTCACTATTTTTTAAACATTTTCCACGATCACACTTCCATTGAAAAAGTGTCTAGTTCCCACATTATTTCTAATTGAAATCAGCACCAGATTATGGGATTTCATTTTCAATATAAAATTTAAAATGCAATAATAGCGGCAAAAATTTTATTTATTCGGTATTATACGAGAAAAATCAGTATATAAATTAACTACGAAATTTGAGATCGTATTTTTTGGGGTTCATATATAACTTTGAAGATCGCGTTTTATAAACAAAAAGCGAAGCAGTTAGTTAACATGAGAAAAATTCAATTCAAAAGCTGTATAAACAATAGATGGCAGAACATATTACTTTTTCCTAAAGCAAATATTTTCTTAATTTTATTACAAAAGTGAATGTTTTTTGTGATGTATTATTTTTAGTTTGACATTTTTTTCCTTCATTGCTAATTATCGAAAATATGTTTTGCGTTTTAAAAAGTAATATCAAAAATAAATTAAAAGTTAATTTGCAATTTCCGAAATTTACATCTGTTAAACAGTCTGTCATGGTGCTGCCATCTGTCAAATATAATCAGAAACTAATGTATTTTCCATTAAATTTGAATAATCCTTATAGATGGCAGCACAATGTTAAGGAAATAAATAGTATTATAATATAGTATGAAGATGGAGGGGTCATAATCTTATGTATTCTCATTCATCAAACCTCAATTACAGCACTTATTCAAATAAAAATTAAATATTGCTTTTTTTTTAATGAAATTCATTGATTTATTCATTATTCATTTTAAATGAAATATTAAAAAGAAATTCCTTTTCAAAAAATATTCTTATTACAAATACAATGATTATTCAGATTTAAAACACAATTTTCATTTTATGAATAGTTATATAACTTCACAAACTTCAACTGCGTCAGGAAAAGAAAAAAAGAAACATTAATAAACTCGAATAAAGATTATTTCAAGAAATGTTTTTTACACATTAAGGGAGAATATTTATACATTTGAATACATGGATATTTATACATTTTATTCCAAAGTGTAAAAATATATATAAATGAAAAATAATATATAAATGAAAAAATTATATATAAATGAAAAAATTAAGCGATCTAAAATGAATACAATGTTACCTTTTCGGGGAATAGGCTCTAATCCTTCAAATGTTTTCTTTAAAGTCAAAGGTGAAGCTAAATGGAATAACAAAATATTTTAATTAATTATGACTATTTTTTTTTTTTTTAGCTTTCTTCTTTATTTTTAAATTTTATAAAAGTTCAAAATAAAGGGAAACACACAGTTCTTTTTTTATGAAAAGCTTTAAAAAAATATATCGTGGTGATCGATTTAATTATAAATGATAAAACCTTTTTTTCTTTCTTCTGAAAATAGGAAAAAAAAGCTATGTTTGCATCTTAAAGAAGAAGAAAAAATTTTAAAAAAATAGAAAACTACGTTGCAAAAGTGGTTTCTAATTTTTAATTTTTTTTTTGTCGAATCAGTTTTCTATAGTTTATTCATTTAATATTAGTATATTGATGGAAAATTCCAAAAAATCAATATCAAATGTTTAAATAATTCTCTGTGATAAAAATTTTTTTTTTCTGAAATAGAACATTTATAATTTATACGAAACGCATTTACACGTAATAAAAGTTACTTAAATCCTGGCATGAAGCAGTAATATTCTATATCCTATCAGAATTTTATTTTGAAATTATGAAAAAAATAAACTAATGCAATATATTATAATTTAAATCAATTTTAATCTTTTTTTTTTCTCTGCTTAAAATATATTCTGATATCTAACGTAAAAAGTGTATTCTAATGCAAAAAGAGAGAATTGTTTTATATAAAAATTAAACTTCAAACAGGTCGTTTTTAAATCGGAAAACAACCTCGGATGGTTTTACACTGAATACTTAAATAGCAATTCAAATTTCCCAAAATTAAATAATTCTTAAGATATTTCTTTTAAATTTAATTATTATTATTTTTTTTAATTTTAAGTATTTTATACTGGGATATTTAATTCGAGATCAGAGATAAAAAATATTTTATTACATATTTTCTAGAGTAAAATGATGTTTATTGGTTAGCTTTAAAACAAATCAAATAAACTGATATACAGAAACTCTTTTCTTGGATTTAATACGTTGATTATGGCAATATATTTATCCTTTCTGGGGTGAAATTATAATTGTTGCATATATGAAAAAAATTTAGTTTTTTTAAATCAACTTTTTATTGTTCTAGTTATTCTATTTATATAGTTATTATATATATATATATATATNCATATATATATACATATATATATATATATTTTAAGTCAGTTTACATTTTCCACATTCTTTGAATAAAATTTTAAAAAAAATTAAATAAAATAAAATAAATATATAAATTATCTTAAATTTCATTTAATTAAGCACCGGAGTTTTATTAAAAAAAAGGTATGAGTTATTTTTATTTTATTTTTATCACCATCATTGAACAGTTATTCATTTTGGATCTATGACTATATGAATGATTATTTTTGTAGGTCTCCGTTACTTTAAACTGAATCTAGAAGACTATAGATAGCTCTTAAATCAAATTCGTCTTAGTAGAGAACTTTTTTAATGAAACTATCCCACGTCATGCAACACAAAAAGAAAAAGCACAAAATCCTTATATTGTCGACTCTAACATGATCCGCCTACCAGAGGGTATATATATATATTTTTTAAATCTAAATTTGTATATTGCAAGCTGAGTGCATCATACCAATTTGGCTATTGTCGCTTGGAATTGAACTTGCGTCGCCTCTAGAATTTTTAAAACATCGACATTTTTGAATTGTAGAAATTTAAAAATTGATTTTGTAATTTTGTAACAGTTTTATAAATAGAATTGCTTATTTTTGTTTCTTAACAGTTCAGTATCTATAAAAATAAAATTGACTCTTTTTTATAAAAATAAAATTTATTCTTTAACAGTTGTGCGTCGATCTGAGTAAAATTGTTTATTTTGATTGTTTTCAATGGTTGTGTATCTTTATACGTCAAATCCTCTGTTTTTATTTATTTATTTATTCTTCAGTTTTCTTCTAACAATTGTATATCTATATAAATAGAATTATCTGCTTTTATTTTTGTAACAATAGTGCACTTATATAAGTAAAATTGTTTTTGTTTGTTTTTTAATTTATTTGTTCTTATAATTACTTTTATTTTAATATTTAAATATGAAGGTTGCGAAGGGATTTTAACTGAATAATTTTTTTAATTTAAATCGTCTGTTTTTATTTTATTGTTTATTTATTTATTTATTCTCCATTTTTTAACAGTTGTATATCTATATGAATAGAATTATCTGCTTTTATTTTTGTAACATTAGTGCACTTATATAAGTAAAATTGTTTTTGTTTATATTTTAATTTATTTGTTTTTCGTAATTATTTTTATTTTAATATTTAAATATGAAGGTTGCGAAAGGATTTTAATTTAATTATTTTTTCAATTTAAATCGTCTGTTTTTATTTAATTGTTTATTTATTTATTTTTTCTTCATTTTTTTAACAGTTGTATATCTATATAAATAGAATTATTTGCTTTTATTTTTGTAACAGTAGTGCACTTATCTAAGTAAAATTCTTTTTGCTTATTTTTTGATTTTTTTTTTCGTAATTATTTTTATTTTAATATTTAAATATGAAGGTTGCAAAAGGACTTTGACTTAATTATTTTTTTAATTTAAATCGTCTGTTTTTATGTAATTGTTTACTTATTTATTTATTCTTCATTTTTTTAACAGTCGTATATCTATATAAATAGGATTATCTGCTTTTATTTTTTTAACAGCAGTGCACTAATATAAATAAATTTGTTTTTGTTTATTTTTTAATTTATTTGTTTTTCATAATTATTTTTACTTTAATATTTACCTATGAAGGTTGTGAAAGGTTTTTAATTTAATTATTTTTTAAATTTAAATCGTGTGTACTTATTTATTCATTTATTTATTTATTCTTCATTTTTTTAACAGTTGTATATGTATGTAAATAGAATTATCTGCCTTCGTTTTTTTTTAACAGTAGTGCACTTATATAAGTAAAAATGTTTTTGTTTATTTTTTAATTTATTTATTTTTCATAATTATTTTTATTTTAATCTTTACCTATGAAAGTGGTGAAAGGTTTTCAATTTAATTATTTTTTAAATTTAATTATTTTATTAATTTAAGTAGTCTGCTTTTATTTAATTTTTTATTTATTTATTTATTCGTCAGTTCTTTTTTTTAACAGTTGTAGATCTATACAAATAGTATTATCTGTTTTTATTTTTTAAACAGTAGTGTACTTATGTAAGAAAATTTGTTTACTTTTTAATTTATTTGTTTTTATCATTATTTTTATTTGAATATTTACCTATGGAGGTTTTGAAAAGTTTTTAATTTATCCCCGCAAATTTTGCGGTATCAAGGAAGAAAAAAAAAAGAAAAAAACGGAATGAACAACCGGTAGCAATAAAAGGTTTTTGAAGGTCACGCAAAGAAAGACTTAACTGTTTCTCCCTGCTACTGGATCTTATATAAACTTCTTGATCTGGTAATTAAACTTGAACTCGCTCGCCATGCAAAGTGTCCTTATGGAAAAGTAACTAATTGATGTCAAGGAATATTTACACAACAAACAGAAATGACCACATTTCTCCTTCTCTCTCTTATTTGCGTGAAATAGAAAATAGTTGCACGTTAAATTTTGTTTTGTTTTGAAAGTTTCTTGTTTAAATAAAAATCAAATCGAATGAATGAATGGCGCTCTCCTCATTAAAATATTGTACATTAATTTTAAATTCATACTTTGCATTATTTGCATTATTATTTACATAACTTTACTTTAAGTCATTTACATTACTTCACATTATTTAAATTTTTTTACATTATATTCTCTCTCTCTTATTTGCGGAAATAGAAAATAGTTGCAGAAGCGAACACGTTAAATTTTGTTTATTTTTGAAAGTTTCTCGTTTAAATAAAAATCAAATCGAATGAATGAATTGAGCTCTCCTCATTAAAATATTGAACATTAATTTTAAATTCATACTTTGCACTATTTACATTATTATTCACATAACTTTACATCATTTACATTACTTCACGTTATTTACATTTTTTTACATTGTATTCTCTCTCTCCTCTCTCTCTCTCTCTTATTTGTGTAAAATAGAAAATAGTTGCAGAGGCGAACACGTTAAATTTTGTTTTGTTTTGAAATTTCTTGTTTAAATAAATTTCAAATAGAATGAATGAATTGAGCTCTCCTCATTAAAATATTGAACATTAATTTTAAATTCATACTTTGCATTATTTACATTATAATTCACATAACTTTACATCATTTACATTACTTCACGTTATTTACATTTTTTTTACATTATATTCTCTCTCCTCTCTCTCTTATTTGCGTAAAATAGAAAATAGTTGCAGAGGCGAACACGTTAAATTTTGTTTTGTTTTAAAATTTCTTGTTTAAATAAATTTCAAATAGAATGAATGAATTGAGCTCTCCTCATTAAAATATTGAACATTAATTTTAAATTCATACTTTGCATTATTTACATTATTATTCACATAACTTTACATTATTTACATTACTTCACGTTATTTACATTTTTTTACATTATATTCTCTCTCTCTCTCTCTCTTATTTGCGTAAAATAAAAAATAGTTGCAGAGGCGAACACGTTAAATTTTGTTTTGTTTTGAAATTTCTTGTTTAAATAAATTTCAAATTGAATGAATGAATTGAGCTCTCCTCATTAAAATATTGAACATTAATTTTAAATTCATACTTTGCATTATTTACATTATTATTCACATAACTTTACATCATTTACATTACTTCACGTTATTTACATTTTTTTACATTATATTCTCTCTCTCTCTCCTCTCTCTCTCTCTCTCTTATTTGCGTAAAATAGAAAATAGTTGCAGAGGCGAACACGTTAAATTTTGTTTTGTTTTGAAATTTCTTGCTTAAATAAATTTCAAATAGAATGAATGAATTGAGCTCTCCTCATTAAAATATTGTACATTAATTTTTAATTCATATTTTACATTATTATGTTACGTTATTTAATGATAATTAGAAGAAACAAAATATGTTTATCAAATTTGTTCCGTTTTGTTTCGTTTCAAAACAATTTATTAAGTTTTAAAAAGTAGAAAATTAAATACTTAAGAAAGTATGAGAAGATTGCGAATTTAAATGAAAGACGAGCAAATTCTATTATTTATGATAGTTTAACTAGATTGTAAAAAAATGCGGATCAAATTTCTTTAAAATGTAACAGCACTTAGGATGCCGGTACTTTATACAGTAAAATCCATTTTTAATGTAAATTTTTACGTAACAAAGAATCTAATATGCCATAGTTTTTACAATAGTGTTGACTGTAAAATCACTATAATTAAATAAATATTATTGTAAAAGTTACGGTATGAAAATTTACGGTAAGAATAAATTTTACATTGTAATGGATTTTACCAGAATGCCAGTACTTTTTGCCGCACATTAATCCGAAACTTTTCACAGTGAAGATTAATAAAAATAATTTATATTACATGAAAGTATACATTTGAAAGTTATTTTTGAAATAAAAAATAATTGATTTAAATTATATATGTATATCAAATTTATTTTTTAAACATACTATACTTAATTTGAGTCATACACTTCAAATTTTTGAAATATACTGTAATTATTTCAAATTATATTTTTCAAGCTTATATACAATATTTTTTTTTGAATTATATACTTCAAACTTGATTTTCAAATAGATTATTATAACAATGGATGATGTATAAAAAACTAAATACAGTCGGACATGGATAATTTAATTCGGACATGGATAATTCGAAGTACTGGATAATTCGAACAAGTGTTAATTCCCCTAGAACTTCCTACTGATACGAATGTTAAAAATACATCTATAATTTGAATCTTTCCTATATAATAAAATATATCTATAATTTGAATGTTTTGTTGATTTATTCAAAATTCGATGTAATAAAAATCGAAAATTTCTTAATTCATTAAAAAGTTTTTTCCTCCAATTTTTTAGAAGTTACAAATGAAGAATTGATAAACTGAAAATAGAATGAGATGGATTAAGAAACTGACCTAAGAAAATAATGACATTGAATGGGAAGGATTGTGAATGGCGCTCACTGTGCATGTAAATTGTGTGCTTGTGAATTTTCAATTTATAATGATATTTAATATAAAAATACCAGATGTGTGTCATCATAAAAATTTAAGAAGAGTTTAAGGAAAGTTCCTCTTTTATTAAAAATTTTCGTTAATCTGATTCTAAGATTAATGGTTTGTAGATATTTTTTTTAATCAATAAGTATTTTCGATTTTAATTTTAGTTAATTAAATTTTTTTCCCTATTTCTTTTAAATAGAATTGAAAAGAGTCTAGCGTATTGCAAAAAATGCATATATTTAAGTTAAAATTTTATTCAAAATTTTACCCGAGGAATACCATTTGAGAATCTCTGGTCTATAGAATGCTTAGTCATGGAACAGAATGTCTGGCCTTTTTAACTTGAAATCATGAAAATTATTATGTACTTTGCCCAACCGGTATATAGAATGCCTCTGGGTTTCTCATTAAAAAAGAAACAAATCAATTTTTTACTTGCTCAAATATGTCCCAATGGAGAGTAAAATAATTAGTTTTTGATACATCAAACTAAATAAAATCTCAAAACGCATTTTTATTTTTTCATTCAGATCTCACTCACCTGGTATTGCATTAAATTTTCCATCTTGCCCTGTTGTGATGACGGCAATATCACCGACTCTTTTGAAGATGAGTGTTCGACCCTTTTCACTGTCATCCCTGATTCGATCCACGGGTAGGCAAAATAGAGTAATGGGTAACATGCATGCACTGTAGGCCACAAGAATATAGCACACCCACTCCCACGAAAGTCCTGCATCATATCCATACTATGAAAGCAAAAAAAAAAAATTGTTTGATATTTAACAAATGAGCAAATTGATAATAAAATACCTAACAAAATATTTGCTCAAAAGGTTTCATTTTTTCTTATTATATAGTATTTCTATTGTTTGTTTATGCAAAATTCTTTACAAGAAAATAATGTGTTTCTTTAGGTTGTCTTAAGGTTGGTGTGTGTAATTGCACCTGAGGCAGAAAATGTTTTTTTGCAGCGAAAATAGCCTCATCACTAAACCTTAATTTCAACCTCAATCCCACCCCTTACATAGCTCAGCAATAATTTTAATTGAAATCGGATGTAATTATTCACACCTCAAATGTACTTATTTGCCCGAAGTGTAGCCTGTTCACCTGAAAAACAACCTCTTTAAGCTGTTTGCTCTAAGGTAAATTTCTATCAGCCACAAAACAACCTCAATTGTGAATAAATGAACTTCATACACCTTGATTATAAAACTCGGAGGGTTAATTTCTTAAGGTTGTTTTTGAAGGCAATTTCAAATGAACTTCTGAAATAAACCACAAAACATAAGGAAAAACATTTGTAAGGAATTTTTTTAATAGTAATTTACATTTACAAGCATAAATAAAAAAGCATTGAAATTTAAGATTAGTTTGTTTATATTCTTTTAACAGTTAACTTGAAAATCAAAGTGATAATAAAAGTAATTAGTTTCTTAAAAGCTATTTTTTTATTATTTATACACCCAATTATAAATACTTATGTTTATTTATTTTATTATGGAAAATTAAGAATTTTTCGAAATAGCCCATGGTAAATTACATCAAGCAAAAAAAAACAATAAAAATAAAATAAGCGAGTAACTTCTGGATAACAAAGTTCATACCAGTGGCTACAATATAGAATGTAAATTTTTGAAATAATACAAACAAGAATGAAAATACGCATGTACGCTCTGAAAGTCGAATTTCAATAAACACTAATTTTCCGATGAAAGTCGACATTTACATAGCCGCTTCGGAGAATGTCAAAAATTCAGTCATTAGTCACTTGAAACTCGGTTTTTAATATCAACTGAAATTCTATAAATGTCACCTGATTCTAAGAATGCCCACATTGTCATTTTATTCAATGTCAAAAATCTAGTCATTAATATCATTCTACGAAGTTACGAAAATATAAATTTTTCTTGTGAACATCAGTATTCACATTTACTGAATATCTGAAACTCAATTATTATTCAGTAGAACTTTAATTAATATCATCTTCCAAAAATCATCAGCAAATTTAAATATCTTAAGGGAATGTCGCGATTTATATAGCCGCTTTGATGAATATCCAAAATTCAGCTATTAGTATCATCATCCAAAATTCAATAAATGTCTATTTTTGTGAATTAAAGGTATATTTTATAAGAAACATCGACATTCTAACTGTTTTGGTGACTATTCGAAATTCGGTCAATATCCAGTCGAAATTCAATAATTAATTTTAACAGCCGAAATTATTAATATCATCATCCAAAATTCAATAAATGTCTATTTTTCCGAATTTAATGTCCATTTTATAAGAAATATCGACATTTTAATTGTTTTGGTGACTATTCGAAATTCGGTCATTATCCAGTCGAAATTCAAGAATTAATTTTAACTGCCAAAATTCAGTACAAATCAATTTTTTGGAGAATGTCATTTGCATATTCACAATTACATATTCATTCTCTGTTAAGTAGAAGAAAAAACTAATTTTTTAAGAGTTTCTTTAAAAAGATTTGAAATACTTTTACTTTAAATTTCTAGGAGTCTTATAGATTGTAACATTTGTATAATAAACCAAGATTTTTATTTAAAATAAGGTCTTTTTATGCCATGTCTTTTTAAAAAATCGCATTTAAGCAATTAAAACTTTATTTCTCACCTTCATGAAAATAAATATGGATGCAGATGCAGTGAAGGCTCCACTGTAGAGAGTAATGACGGTAGATCTTCTGGTTGGAAAAAGGTTTGCTATCTGCCAAAAAAAAGAGCACAATGCAATAAATTACATTTAATATTTCTTAAAAAAAAACAATGCATTTATAGCAATAAATTACATTTATTGTTTTGTAGCTGTAGTCCAGTATCGTAAAGAATTTAAATAATATTAACTGGGATAATTACGCCATATTAAAAAGATTTAATATAGCCTATTACATGCGTGTTTTAATTGTAAAGAATTATTTGGACAAAAAAAATCATACTTGCTTGTATACTGTGCAAACTAATTGAGAAAAAGTAAAAGTATTGCTCTTTCAAAGCCGCTAGAGTATTGTTTAAATATTAAAAAAATCATAATCATACTTCGTAAAAACATCGCACTTGTGCAAACTAATTGAGAAGAAGTAAAAGTATTGCTCTTTCAAAGCCGCTAGAATATTGTTTAAATATGAAAAAAATCATAATCATACTTCGTAAAAACATCGTACTTGTTTATATACTGTGCAAAATAATTGAGAACAAACTAAGTAAAAGCATTGCTTTTTCAAAGTCGCTAGAGTTTTGTTTAAATATGACTTTTACGAGTATGTCATAAAATGTCGACAAATATTTTGCAAAATTAGTAAAAACATGCACTTAACGATCATTTGGCCATCACTTAGCCATCACACACATGCCAGTCAAATTGGGATTTTAACCAAACTGCAAGTGTTCAGCCTTATTGAAATGATCCCCTTTAGGCTTATTAAAAATGTATCATCCATTGCGCAAATACCACTATTTATTCAAAGCAGCTTCAAATAAATTTAGAGTATTAATTACAGAATTGTAAATAACTTTGTTAATTAAAATGTCATTGCAATAAATCTAAACGAATTCAGCTTGATTCAAGTTTTTGCACATTTCCTAATTAGTCTAAAAGCATATAAGCTAGCTGTAATAAGCCTACTAAAACACAAGTAGATTAGAGAATATTGAAAACATTGCAAAGACTTCGGTAACATTTGCAAAGAGCTAAATCTTTCAAACAGTCTACGACTAATACATTAATAATTGCTGTATGTCTTCTGATAGTAGCAAATGAAGACCTTTTGACATTGACTCTAAGGATTGGTGTACGCATTACACATAATCCATTAAGGATTTTCTGAACATTCTTGATTTATGATTAGAGTCATATCGTCTAAAGACATCATTAACAAATGACTAACGGTTAAACTTGCAGTAAAATTTACTATGATGCACAATCCACAACATAAAATTGCAGCTGGATACTTAAAGTTTGATAGGAAAAAAAAGCAGGCAATCAATTTTTTTTAAAATTTCATTTTTAAAGGAATTTTTTAATTTACTTGTGTCTGTAAATTGACCATGCCACTGATTTCTAAAAGTCTAAGAAGAAAAAAAAACGATTTAACACTGAGCCAAACCATTACCGGGAAAGCGAGGTTGTTGTAGCCTTAAAGCTGGCTTGATTTGGATGTTGATGACGGGCAACTCTTACAACTTTATTTTAAAAATGGTAAATATGATTGAGATCTGTGGATAGTGGGGACCAACTCAACAAAGTGAAGCCTTACTAATCTTCCTCAAATGAGTCATTCACAATGCCAAAAGTTTGACAGACGCATTATCCAACTAAAAGTACCTCCTTGGGATAAACCCACGAAATTTCCAAAGGGCGGAGCTCTAAATAAAAAAATAAAAAAAAGCACCATGTATAACTTTTGATCCAATAATCATATTTTCGCGTACTAGGACATAATCTTAACAAGTCGGAGATCTATCCTATGAGTTGAACCGGGTTCAAATCCCAGCGTTGGCTGGTCGATAGGAATTCCGCATCCGGCTTGCACCGACCTCAGTGCTGACATGAAATATCCTTAGTGGTAGACGGATCATGGGTCCCTTGTCGTCAGGCTAACCGTGGGAGGTTTTCGCGATCTTAATTTCCATGTAACGCAAATGCGGGTTAGTTTCATCAAAAAGTCCTCCACGAAGGCAAATGTCTCCCAATACTCAATCCAGGAGTTCGTTTGTTTTCAGGATAGGGTTCAAAATTACATGGCTACGTAGTTGAACATTAGCAGTCGTAAACCCATAAAATTGGGTCGGCTGTTCAACGACGGTTATAAAATGAAATGTGAATACCAAGCTACTAATCAGGATCTTTTTGCATCAATACCAAGGAGTGTTAAGGATTCATTTTAGTAATAAAAAAAGGCTACTAAACGAAAAATTGTATCTGTGATTATAACATATGATCAAAGTTATAAAAAGTGAAATGCACGAATTAAATATTTTAATAGCTTTGTTTACAGCTAAGAATAAACGAAATAATCGAAAATAATAAAAAGAATTATTAATAATAGTGCTTTATATTTTAAAAACCAGGAATAATTAATATTTGTTATATATGTGAATGAATTGTCTTATATTTTTTGATTTTTAAATATATGTAATAGATTTTTAATAATTTTGCTTACAGTTAAGAATTAAAAGGATTGAAGCTTCCCCAAAAGCGTAATTTTAAAAAAAATGCTCTACTTTTCAAATACCATGAATCTACAATACTTTCTGCTCAATGTGTCGAATAATCTTTTTATTTCCAATTTTTATCCATACGCTGCAAATTTTTATTAATTTTACATTTGCACTTAAGAATAATAATAAATGCATATATTGTACTTTTAAGAATAAGCAAAATAAACAAATATTTATGGGAATGCTTCACGTTTTAAAAATAATGAATCATCGATATTTTCTTCTATATCAGCAAAAAGATTTTCCGCTGTGTTCGATTGTTTTCTTCCTTTTCCTAACTTAATAAAAATCGTCTGCACTCAAGCGAATAGGACACTCACCTTTCAAACGAAAACTTTTTGTCATGGTTTTGAAAGATAAATAATTATTAGCGAAGAATTTGACGATCGTTGAGCTGGTCGAATTTTTTTAAGAAAAAAAAACAAACAATTTTCTCTCTTGTTCTAACTTTAGAACGAATGTTTAAACAGATTCGAGACTAATTGAAAAATATCTGAAGTGAATTCGTTCCACTGGAGTGCAAAGCAGTGTCACGGTCGGCTTTATCTCTAATGCCGACAAAATTGATATTAAGCAATAAGAAATCTTCCAAACTTTGTAACCAGGTCCTTGAATTTCAAACATATCATCGAATTGGTAAAGGGAGCAAAAATGTAAATTTATGAGTGGAAGATTAATGGGTTTTAAACTGGCTTTATGTTTAAAAACGTTACACACATCTAAAATCTAACGCTTTGTAATTTTGTAACCGACTTTGAACAGCAGACCTATTTCTGAGTTTACAACTAACAATATTCTACTCCGTTTCCAACCCAGAAGACAAGGGATCTCCTGGATCAAACAATGGGATATACTACTAGCCCTTGTGGAGGATTATTTAATAGAACAAACCTGCATCTGTGTAACAGGGAAAGGAAAACCCTTTCATGGTTAGTCTGACGGCAAAAGTATTCTGACCCATGATCGTCTACCACCGAGGATATTTTTACGTTAGCACTGTGATCGGTGCGAGCTGGGTTCGGATTTCGTATCAACCGGTCACCACTGGGAAGCGAACCTAGTTCATCTCATTGAGAGGCGAACGTACTCCTCTTGAGCCACTGCTGCTCAAAACTGCAAGTTTTGTTTCTATCTATATAACCGTCGTTGAACATCAGACCCAAATTTGAGTTTATGGCTACCAATGTTCAACTCCGCAGCCTTGTAATTTTGAACCCAATCCAGAAGACAAGAGAACTCCTGGATCAGTTCCCCGGAGATATTGGTTTGTAATTGGAACTTGGAGAACTTTGTGACCCCGGCAGATTTTACGCGTACCAGTCACCATTTAATACACAGGGATTCTTCGGGCGGCTTTATTTGAATCCCGTTCTCTCAAACATGTGTCCCGCGTCTTAACAACCATGCTATCCGGGCCTTGATTTGAACGTTTTATATCTTATATCCATCGTTGAACAACTGACCCAATACAAAATATCAGTGATAACAGATAAAAAACATCACACTGTTTTATTTGTGATATGGCGTCGTATTTCTTCCAGTCAGTAAAATTTGATCCCCTCTTTCCCAAGATTTGTCAAAAAAATGGGGGGGTTTTTTTCTAAAAATTCTTAAATAATAAAGATTTTCTATATGAATATATTTTACTGTAAAGTCTAGTAAATTCTTAGTTTTACCCAGTAAAACTTAGGACTTACCAAAGTGACTCAGTAATTCTTGAGTATAATCGTAAAAGCTCGGTAAAAGGCAAAAATGAAATCATATCAAAATATAGTTCTAGCATTTACCTAAGGCTCCTATACAATCAAAGATGACCTATCAAGCAATATTGGAGCAAACAAGTTCCCAAGTTAACGTTATGTTAGTATCAGTTATGTAATGTGCTTATGTTAGCTCGTTGCTCCAAAAATAAATGATAAGTTGGCCTGTCTAATTCAGGAGCTCTACATTTACCAAGTCACTTTGGTAAAAGCTAGATTTTACAGGGAAAACGTAGGATTTACCATACTTATGTTTTTTTTTACAGTAACAACTGTAAAAAGATTAAATCTGATAAATTATAGAATTTACCGGTATAACTTACGATTTACCAAAATGACTTTATAAGCCAGTTTGCAAAACATTCGGGATTTTATTATAACATGTAAAATAAGATGAGTGATGTATAAATCTTACTTGCATATTGGCTAGTCGAAGCGGTACACCAGCCAAGCACATTAACGTAAGTGCAGGAAATATCAGGTAAGATGTTTCTGAAAAATTGTAATACATTTTTAAAGCAGGCAGTTAAAAATTAAAAAGTATAGCAAGATTTCATTAATTAAAATTGCATTAAACATTGAAACATACATTCCCAAGTCTAAATTTGTGATGGATTTCCATTGATGGACCAACATAATCATGATGATAACCATCAATAATTCTATTATGAACCATTATATTTTTGATGGTAACTAACATAAGTAACCATCACCCCAATGTAGGAATTCGGATTGATTTATGATGGTCCAGAATAAGAATAGCAACTTGTTTCGATGGTCTTTTCATGTTGGTCCATCAGAAGTTTCCATCACAGTTTCTTAGAAATCAAATGGTGGAACGATCATGAACAATCATTATACCAATGAAGGAATTCGGACAGATTTATGACTGCCACTATAAAAAAAATTTTTTTTTTGATGGTATATTCCTGAGAACCAACAACAATTCTCACTAAACCATCATGGAAGTATATATCATGGATTGTTGGTCCATGAAAATCAAACTTCTCTTGATGGTTAACCATCATAGTTTTAAAGTAGCGTTTTCCATCATGTAATGATGGAAGTTTATTGGAATTTCGAAACCATGAAAGCATAATGGAAAATGTTGGATGATGGTGACCATCAAATGATGTTGGACCATCATGAATCACACTGAAACCAACATAAACCATCAAAATGTTTTGATGGGACCATCAAGAATCACACTGAAACCAACATAAACCATCAAAATGTTTTGATGGGACCATCATGAATCACACTGAAACCAACATAAACCATCAAAATGTTTTGATGGGACCATCATGAATCACACTGAAACCAACACAAACCATCAAAATGTTTTGATGGGACCATCATGAATCACACTGAAACCAACACAAACCATCAAAATGTTTTGATGGGACCATCCAGAATTTTGACTTGGGTTTATATAGGTAATAAATAAAGGGAGAAAATTTAAATTAGCATATGAATTAAAACAAAATATGTCAAGATAATATTTTTTGAAGGATATATTTTATTTATTTTAAATATATAAAAGGTAAAGTTTCATTTGAAAAATATTAATTATAACATCTTTTAACATAACATTTCATCTATTTTAAATTTAATACCAGTAAACATAATGTTTAAAGTATGATTGCAAATTTTTACTTTTTACTATGCGAACTTATACTTTAAAATCTAATAAAAATTAAATTTTTTTTCAAATGTCCCTATTGCATGAAATGAATACAAAAACATTAACATAACTGATTTGAATATATAAAGTTTAATTAATTTTACGTAAATTCCCAGAAAGAAATAACTCATCACACACGAAGCGTAAAGTTTATTTAAGAAGATGCCAATAAAAATGGTCCCGCAGTGTACTGATCGTTAAGACACGGTTCCCAGCAGATCACCGAAGTCAAGCATCACTGGCTGCGGTCAGTGTGTGGGTGGGTGACCACTTGGATCCGTCTGCGTAGGGACCGAGGGTGTGCGGTATTGGTAAACTGTTCTATCGTAAAGTGCTCGACTTCACGTGCAGGTCATCGGGCTACTGAAGCGGAGGTGCAATCCCCTCTGCAGAGGATCAAAATTGTGATGGCATGTCTTCCTCAGAGGATCGTCCTCAGGGATGTTTCCCAGACCGTCGCCAATAGCCCATTGTGCAGCTCTAGTGCGACGTAAATGAACAGCAACAGCCAATAAAAATGTGCATAAAAATTAAAAAAATGTGCCTGCTAACTCAAATACTTTTTAGTCATGGAATGAATTTTACAACCACCATATTATTCATAAAATCTCGTAATTTTAACGGAAATCAAGGAAGTAAATAATGTGATTGTCTCACAAAATGCAATCACAAAAACTTACATGCTTTAAACAAGATGAATGCAATTCCTCTGATTAATACACTGAAAAATAAAGTATTATCAAAACTATCAAAATGTGGAAAATTTTACTGTGTTTCTGACTTTAAGGGAGCATCAGAAATCTCTGTAATTTTTACTGAATCGCATTGGTCAAAATTTTGGTAAAATTAACAATGAAATATGGTTTTAAAATAAGAGTTAAAATTTGGAAAATGAAAACTTAGTAAATTTGTCATGATACCTTACAGGTTGGTATAACAGCCATTTATTCCGTTAAATTTATTTATGAGTTTTGTATTTTTTACGAAATATGTGGTAGTAAAAACCATAATTCTAACCGATTCTAAACCGATTTTCCGGTAAACCGTTACCATATGAATGGTAAAATTGTCAAATGAATGTCAGAAATACCGTATATATTGGTTTTATTAACCAGAATTATGGGTGAGTTTTTTTCCTGAAATATCTTTACCATACAGTACAGAAAATTTATCAGAATTGTTTTCTCCCTGTTCAATGTAAACTTGTGTTTAAACTTAATTGCTTGTTCAAATCATGTTTATTTATCACGTAAGTTTTTTTAAATTCATGTCAATTTTTTTTAATTAAGTCAACTTTCTTATTTTAGTCTAAACTGTATAATTTACAAATCATTAATCATATTATTTATTTTACTAATCATAACAATCATACTTATCATAACAATCATAATTCTTTTTTACAGGATTCAATACTCATTCTAACTAGTTGCAGCTCGCACTGATAACAACTGATAAAACCATGACAATTATAATGATAAGTACTGCATTTTTAAGTATTATGGTGCTATATTTTAGCAAGTATAAATTTAAAGAAAAAAGATAATTTTTGATTACATAGGTTATAATTATGTTGCTTATAATATAAGATGTTACAATAAGTGGAGAATAATACAAGACTCATTTTCTCACAAAATCTTAGATTTCCAAAATTATATTGTAAAAGCACTACACTGAAAAACGAAGTTTGGTAAAAACTTCCCGAATATGGTAAAATTTACCGCGTCTCTGCCTCTTTGAGAAGACTAAAAAGCTTTGTAATCTTTGTCAAAGCGCTTTTGTAGCAGAAATCAAGGAAGATTGATTCATCATGAGTTTGGTAAAATTAATAATAAAATATTGTTTTTTAATATGTGATAAAATTTGATAATTTATCATGAGACCTTAGGGCATGACATGAAAACAATTTATTTGATTATATTTACTTCTGAGTTTTGTATTTTTTACTAAATGTATGGTAAAAAGAACTATAATTTTTTAAAACTAAATTACCGATGAGCCGTTACCACAGGAACGGATAAATGAGCGGAATGGATTACCAAACGAATACTTTAAATACTTTTTTCTTTAGGTATTATGGTTTTTAACCAGAAATCTTTTTACTATAGAGTATGGTAATTTTACCAGTATTTTTTTTACTCCAAACAGTCGGGAAATGGAATAAAAGTAATTAAGTTATGTAACAATATACTTAGAAACTTCTAAGAAATCTTGCCATATTTGAAACTTTTATTTCAATTTTAAAAAAGAAAATGATTTTAAATAAAAAAAAAAACTCATTTAAAGCAGGACATTGAGAAAAAAGTTTCGGCAATGTAAAAATTTGTTTTCTATGTATTGTATTTAAAAAAAATATATGAATGTGTTAAAAATGCCATAAAACAACTGTCTAATTTTTTAAAATATATTTTAATGTGTTTTATCATAACATATTTTAAATATAAGCTGAGTACTTTTCGTTTTTGTGATAAACCCTGGTAAAGAACATAAATCAAACATTATGGCACGACGAAAGCAATACAGGATGAATAATAAGACAAAGTGAGCAAAATACAACCGATATATGATGATAAAATTTTGCACAATAATTATATAATAAGGTAACTCAATAGTTCAATGTTGTCATTTAGTGCTATTTATTTACAGAAATATTTTCTTCTAAAAGGCAGTGTATTAATTAAATCTTTTATACAATAACTACAATAAAAAACAAACATTTATCTCTGAATGGCTATAAATTACAAAAATGTAATGTTTTATAACTTTTTTAAACTTACCTTTCGTAGTTACTGATAGAAGAATAGTACCCAATGAAATAAGACCGCTATAATAAAATAAATGCATGTATTAAAACATTTTTAACACAATAAAAGCTCTGCAAAAAATGATGCAAAATTCGTTATTGTTAATTCAAAATTCATGATTGTTAAATTCATTAAACATTATCAGAATATGATTAAAATAAAATGCGACTTACAAATATGAAATTAACAAATTTGATGATGAGACGAAGAAAAAAGAAACATTGCTTAAAGTATCTTTTTTTTTCAATTCAGCATTCCTACAAGTCGGCTTTCAGAATAAATAAATAAATAAAAATAATACGAAGAAAAAAATGTCGTTTACAACCCTAGTATTTGCTGCCATTAGTAATAAAATTGCAATGTTTAAGGGACCATTCATATATTACGTAAGAATTTTTTTAGCAATTTTACTCCCTCCCCCCTCGTCAGCAAAAATAAGCAAATCACAAACCCCCTATGCTTATATAAGAAAGTAGCAACCCTTATTAGTTTTTGCTCTAACTTCGACTTCGATTGCGGCAATGAAATTCTAAAATTACTTCAAATGAAATATGTAAATTTTTATTAAATAAAATTGACGTAATAACTTTTGAGTAAAATATTATTTAGGAATCCCTTGTAATTTTGGAATATTATTTAGGAAACTCTTTGAAGAAATTCTCTCAATTTTTTTTCCAGATTCAACATTTACTCCAAATTTAAAATATTCCAACTTGCAATATTTTCATTATTTATTTGCTTGTTTTTATTTATTTATTAAATTGCATTTCTCTATTTATTGCTTTTTGGGAAAATAGGGAATATTAATGACATACTTAACGACTGCCCGCATTCTTCCTTATCCCTTGTCAGCAAAAATAAGCAAATCACAAAATTCCTTACTATGTAAAGCTCTTATTTAGTATTTAAACGGTCCCTAACTAATATTTCGGGCCTTCGCCTGATGTTATATAATTACAAGACTTTGGACTGTATGAAACAAAATGTATGAAACAAATAAGGAGATTTTGGACTATATAATACACTTGATTTTGGATTATAATGAAATTCAGAATTATATAAAGCACCAAATTTTGGAAAATACAGAAAATATGATTTTAGACTACATAAAATATGATTTTAGACTACATAAAATATCGAGGGATTGTTTGAGCAAAAAATATATTATTTAGAAAGGTTACATTTTCCTAATTCTTATAAAAATTAGGGTGGCTCAACTGGTTATCTTGGAATAAAATAATAAATCTCAAATTTAAGATAATAAAAAAATAATTTTAGACAATTATGAATCTATATATATATTTCTCTTACACGGCGATAAAAAAAAGCCTCATTACAACTCCCCGAATGGCAACGCTAGAAAATCGACCAATCATTGCGGCTAAGAATGTCACATGGTGAGGTGGCTCAACATATAGCGCTTTTAGAAACGGAAACTGAAATAACCAGAGTGTAAAATATTATGTGCTTATGCGCATCGTATTTTTTGTTAAATAATTTATTTATTATATATCAGTTTATAGATGGTAACGAGAAGAGTTTTGTGGTTGCTATGGTGACTATTTAGAATGTAAATTGTTATTGAGTGAGTGTGATATTTCTTTTTTGGAACTGCGAATTTTATTGTTTAGTTAATAAATCTTCCTTTTGTATTAAACGTGATAGTAGTTTCTTAAATTATTTGATTCGAAGTCCTTTGAGTTTTATTTGAGGTCAGTTTATTTTGTATTTTTTGACAAGAGAGAGCATTCTCACCAAATGTGATTTCTTCTGAAATTCAATGTTTTGTTTATACAGGTTTTTCCATTGCAATTCACTTATTTCAACTTTTAATAGACTTAATTATAGCCAAAATTTTAACCTTTTTAAAGAGATATCAGTTTTAGAAATTTTATCTTAAGATTTTATACTATAGCACATTACTAATAGGTTTAACGAATTACATGTCATTTATTTGAATTCAAATTTATTTTAATGACTTAGTATTTACTAAAAAGATGTAAATTTAAAAAAAAAAGTCGTTATATGGATTTGAATGATTGTTTTGAATTCTTAGAATTTTGTGAATTTGCAATGTATCTAAGTTAGTAGCGAGCGAAGCGAGCTTGGTTTGCGAAGCAAACCATATAAGATTGCGTAGCAATTTTCGGGGGTTGGCGAGCGTCAGCGAGCAGGGGGCGCAGCCCACTAGTTAATTATAAAACACTAGATATTGGACTATTGCAAGATTTTAGATTGTATAAAACATTAGAATTTGGGCCGTAATAGCGTTTTGGACAATATAAAATACCAGATTTCTAACTACAAAAAATAACAGAAATATTACCGTAAAGCATTATGGATCAAATTATGGTTAAGAATAGTACTGGCTCTATGATTGAGTATCTGTAAAATACATTTTACTATAAAAACTCTTTTCACCGTAAAATTTTACATCGCATTTTCCCCAGTAACATTTTTAATTACAGTAATTCATTAATTTTACAATTAATATTGCTGTAAAAATTACGATATATTTAACTTTTTGTGCCGTAATATTCTACGGTGAAAATAGATTTTACGGTAAAAAGTACCGTCACTCATGGTCCCAGTTCTTTTTTACGGTAGCTGTGATGGAAATGCTTAGGCGCAATATTGTTTATTTAAAAAGGCTCATTTTTTAAAAAAAAATTTAAAAAAGTGAATTGAAGTAGCAAATATAAAGTCCAAAGTTCCATTCATTGCTGATTTTTTAAAAACAATAGTATAAATATCAGAATTTTATAAAACGTATGTGAAATTAAAATATAAATTTGCTGAATAAAAATAATCTGAAAAGCATTAACTCTAGTACTTGTTTTTCATTTTTAATTAAATCTCTTAGTTTTTATCATTGTGAAAAAGAAAATAATATCGTTTGAATTAAAATTATTTCTAGTGATGTTATTCTTCCTCATCCCCGAAATCATTCATAACTTACATAAAATCCTCATACCTCTAAAAAATCCACTCCGCTGAAATTTTTATTCTCAAAATTACGTTAAAATAACCGGCAGCAATCTGCCTATCCAATTAACCGTAAAGTTTACCGTAAAGATAACTTTTTACATTTATGATTCTTAAACCTTTTACAACTGGCATGGTTAAAAAAAAACATGAATACAAATCTGCATTGTTTTTTAACCAATTACAACCAGCATGGTTTTGAAACAGTATAAAAGAAATTTCACTGGACGTTAGAGTTGCGCTTTTCGTTAGGAACTAAACTTTTTTTGTGTTAAGCAGCTTTTTGCTGCTACCATCTATGAGTGAATGAGTGTATCGTGTTCTAATAGTCCTGGGTCATAAACTGGGAAGGGCAGGACACTAGAAACTAGAACCCCAGTTCTGTCGGTCATGAGTTTGACAGATTACCCCCTCGGCCATAATATGTTCTCATCTGCAAGAACTAAGTGACTTCATTAGGTCGGTCTAGTTGATGCGATAAAATTCTGGTTTTTTTACCGTATAAGGTGAAAGCATTTGAAAAACGGTTTTTCTCGCAGTTAAAAGTTTGTATGCCGCCTTATTTATGGTTATTTGACTATTTTGTTTGAATATGGTAAAATAACAATTAAATAAATTACTATTTAACCATTTTATGTTTGCGATCTGTGTGTCTGATTGTTATTTAACCATTTAACCTTTTCTCTAATGGTGCAAGAAAAGAAGAGATTTAAAAAAAACTTATTGCGATTCCTTTTTTGCCTTGATCATTAGTGGGCTTCCAGCTACCTCGTAAAATTAAAAATGTTTATATAGCAATTTGCAAGATATCTAAGGCTATGTTGTTAGGGACATTTCATATATCATTACACATCATAAGTGTTTCTGACCAAGATGGTGTAAGTTCGAATCTTGCAACGAACGGTATCTTTAGAACAAGTATGTCCTGTTTTAATACTTTTGGAAAAACTTTTTCAATGGATTAAACTTATACACACGTGACACTTATCATTCAAAATATGAAACAATTATATAAGCATTTTGTTACCTTTAATATATTTAATGAGCCATATCAAAGATACATTTTCACAGTTTCAGATAACCATACGTACGTAATCTCGCATTGCGGATTAAAAGGGATATCATTTCTGATGCGAAACGGATGATTGCGAAGTTTGTTTCACACTTTCTTAACGCTCACCAGTTGAACGTTTTTAAAACTTTTATTTACGATCGTAAAGAATCAATTAAATCCATGAAGCGCGGTAAGCTTGCATACAAGGAATACGTGAAAAAAATTAGTTTTTTTTATGTTGCATTCATGTTAGCTTCGAGAATTTCAGAGAAAACAGAAAAACTTAATAATTGTAGAGAAATGAATTTGAAATTTTTAATGCGAAAATAAAATGCGGAAATATATTAAGTAAAAGCAATAATGTAAAAATACAAAGGAAGTGCATTATTGTTTAAAATATACAATGAGAAAAAATAATGGTTATAACTACCAGAATATGGGACATTTACCATGCTTCTGGCTCTATGAAAATACCAAAAAGCTCAATAATTTTAATTGAAGAGCTTTGGTAATGATTTTGGTAAAAGTAACAATTAAATATAGCTTTATAATAAATAAAAAAATTTCCAATGCCCACCTGTGTTAACATTTTTTCGACAACTCAGGCATTTACAGGGCAGATTTGCTGGCCTCTCTTTCAGGGGCACCATATTAGGTGGGCCAACGCTGCTCACACAGTAAGGACAGATAGTACAGAGAAGGAAAGAACATCCATGCCTTGTCCGGTATTCGAACCCAGAACCTTTCTGATGCAAGGGCAGTTCCCTAACTCCTACACAAACCGATCGACTTATAATAAAATATAAATTTGGTAAGCTTATGCCATGTGTTTTTTGGTTGATACCTAATAGCACATGGTATAAAAACCATTTATTCGATTAAATTCACTTTTTAGTTTTGTATTTCTTTACACATTGTGTAGTAATAAATGCTATCATTTTGAAAACCAGAATTTCCGGTAAACTGTTATCATATGAACTG